ACAGGCAAAATGCTTTTTTAATATTTGAGATTTGGAATTGAGATAGGTATTTGAGAACAGAAGGAAGGTTACCTTATTCTGAGGGCAAAAAAAGGGAGAAAAAAAATCAGGAAGTGAGTATTCTCTAATATCTGCTAAAAGAAAAGGAAGGGGAAAAAAGCACAGAGCTTCTGAGGATCTCAGAGAGAATGATACATTTCCTCCCTTCAACCAAGTCAAAAAAAGGTGAGTGACACAGAGATAGTTACTGTTCTGTTATCACAGTGGTGTATGGGGATTACTCTGTGGCTTCTATGGTGCTTTCTGAAGGCAACAAAACACAGAGGACTGTACCTTGCCCCTTTTTTTGAGTTGCTTTCTCTCTTCAATCGTGGTGAGATAGTTCACTGCTGCGTATTCAATGACGGACAGGAAGACGAAAAGGAAGCTGATCCACAAATACACATCCACAGCCTTTATGTAAGACACTTGAGGCATTGAGGCACTTACTCCTGTCATGATGGTTGACATTGTCAGCACTGTAGTTATACCTGCCAAAGAAAGAGTTATCCTAACACTGACCAGCTGGTTCTGTGCAGCTCATCACCGTCCCTTGGACAGCTCGGCTTTGTACGACTGACACCACCTTTAAATTCATCACACAGGCTCTGAGAAGTGGAGTGAACCATGAAGGACCCATCACAAGCAATACTGAAACCAGTAAATCATCCCTCTGCTCAGTGCATGCAGTTAGAGCTGCAGCACAGCAGGGAAACAAGGATGGTGTTTGAGCAGCATAAGGAGCACATTACTGTGGCAGCTTTGGGCACCGCTGTGGAGAAGTGAAAGCAGGTGTTTGTGGGCTTCCCTCACTTCCCAGAGCCAGGGTCACCACTGCACACTTTCTTGTCCAGGAGAATCCCTAAACAATCACCAATTCCCCCCCCGCCCCCAATCCTTTCTCAAATTGTACTTTTTGAGAACCTTTACCAGCTTGTATGTCTCGGTCATAACTCCTTGGCTCTCTGAAAACAATCAGTAGAAAAATGCTACATCCATTGAAACTAAGAAAAAAATTACTGTTTACTTCAGTGTGACCAGAATTTCACCCTCATCTTTTCGGTCTCTCCTCTTACATCAGCTATTCCTCTCATTTTGGTTTGCTCCATCTCAGAAAAAAAACCCCAACACCTGACTCAGGCCCTGCTTTTAAAGAAAGGAACGTGACACTGGAAGTGAAGACATCTCAAGTGAGACAGCCCCGGCCTGTCAGCTGGGTCTCAGAGCAGCCCTTCTCCAGTTCTACACTAGTTCAAGTCCACTGGAACACACAAAAGTTTTCCCTCTCCCTCTTTCCTTAGGTTGAAAGGTGGAGTTTGAAATATATACCATATAAGAGGAAATCAATTTATTTAATTGATACTCTAGGCTTGGGAGCTAAGCTTTTTAAACTTTGTTGTTAACATTGCCTATAATTATAAATAAAAGGAATTAGCAGATGCATTAATAAAAGTAGGAAGGAGGTACCATAATTTGTTTTCAGATTAACAAACAGATTTATATCCCATGTATTAATAGCTTTACTGTGCCAATACAAAAGGGATCTGAGGTACCTACAGTCCCATTTTTTCTAGACTGAGAAAGCTATAGATAAAAATAGAGGGTTTTTTCACTCATCTAAGAAATATGACAACATACAGTTGGCTTCTGGGGCCAGCACCAGTGAGAAGAAAGTACAGGAGCTTCTTTACTAGTTATTAAACTAAGAGTTGCAGGACTTAGATATATTATGGTTACATTAGATATCTTAGCAAATTTCCATCAGATCTTCAGAGATGATTCTTTCAGAATTTTTGGAAAAATATACTCATTCCAAGGCCATCAGAATTAAATTCCCAACAAAGGCAGTCTTGAAGTGGCATTCACTGAAAAAAACAATAAACTTCTAGAAAAAAAACACTGTAATTGGTCCTTTTCTCCTGAGCTGAGGTGTTCAAAACTAAAACTGAGAGAGCAGAAGGATGCCCAACTTATTCTTTGGCTTCAGAAGACTGTGCCTTGCACAGTTAAGACATCAAATATTTTTAAGGTGCCCAACAAAGGAAGGCTTTGCTACAACGGGCAACTGGTTCTAACTTGGCAGGAAGATAAGAAATGTTTCTAGATAAAAAAAAAGAGCTGCAGAGCTTTTAGACAGATTGTGCTACGCCTAACGAACCATGGATTTGGGAAGGGATCTGACTACCTGTTTGCTGGGAAGAGGGAAGGAAAAAACCAGGCTTTGCAATTAAATAAAATTCTACATCAGGAAGTCTGCAGAATCATCCTTTTTTGCTTCTGTGGTGTGTGAGCTGTTTTCTAATGTAACAAAGCCAGTCTGAACAAACATTCCATTTCCAAATGTAGAGGTTGACTAAAGGTAGTGACAACAGTGGCAATAATAGTGTTGTTGAGGCAATTACCTGATATACTTGCTCATGTCCTGTGTAAATAAGAAGCTAAAGTAACTTCAAAGCCTCTCCCCCCTCCATTCCACACTTCCCAAAGAATATCCATTAAAGATTCACCTAGTGATACCCTGGCAGGAACAGCTCTTCTGTCAATCCAAAATGAAACCCAAGACAGCATCACCATCAGCATGGCTGGGAAATAGGACTGTAGCACAAAAAAGAAAATGTGTCTCCGGAGGGCAAAGTTGATAAAAAGTCGATTGTACCAACCTATTGAAAAAAAGAGAGAGGAACAGAGTGGGGAGGAAGAGAAGAGAGTTGTGTTATTCGTGAGCTGTTTGCTGGCCCCCTCCCTCCAGCAGGAGCAGTGTATCCACATAAGGAACAGTAAATGCCTAAGAAAACTTGTCACCACCTTAGTTCTACACAGTGCTTTGCAAACTGCCCTCTGTACCTCATCAAAACACTGCTGCCTTGGCAGTGAAGCATCACGACCACACACATAAAATACTGTTGTAACTGAAGTTAGGAAATGGGAAAGATTAAACCGACTTCAGGTGAAACTGCCAGGAGAACACACACAGGATATAATTTCCCAACGAAGCCAACACCCTGCCTCCTCCAAAAAGCATCCTGCCTTCTCTCACGCTGCAAATACCCCGCAAGAAGCAGCCCCCCCCCGTTCCCCTCGGTCGGAGCAACTTGCCATCGCAGCGCTGACTTTAGAGGAGAGAGTGCCATCTAGTGAATTTTGGGGCGTGCTCTGCCTGTGCAGCACAGCTTGTGTGCTGTACCTCCTGCCACAGCAGGGAAACCAACATAAAAGCGAGGTGAAAATAAGGCAAAAAGTGGGTGGCTGCCTGTCCAGGACATCCATGAGCCCATGCTGGAGCAGTCACACCATCACAACGAGTGACTTTATACAAAAGAATATATCAAAATTAATCCCAAATAATATTAAACACACTCTGTTGTGTTTTCAGTTGTGGAGAAAGTTTTTTGTTTGAAGAATCTCTACAGTGGATTTAATTGTTGCTCCTTTGGAGCCAGGGAACTCCAAAAGCCTAAACACTACACTGAGATTCACAGGAAAGGATGTGTGGAACCTGAAATGCAAAAAGCTGCTTTATGAACAGCATTTTTGTCCATTTTTTTCAAGAGATTTTAGGGGGAGATGACTCACATTAGAGTTGTGCCGATTCTTCCCCACTACTATTTACTTGGAGGGTAAGTTTTCTTCCAACAAAAAGCAAAATAAAAGAGCAAGAGAAAGTGGAACTTCCTGAGCAAAACAAAACTTCAAAGCCAAAGAAAAGCTTAAGTCTACAAAGGACAGCATTCTAACAGACATGCTACTAAGCATTATCCAGGTACTTCCCAGTGGTCTCTGCAACTTAAAGGTGAAAGGAAAGACATTTTTTATGTTGCTGAGTTGAGGTCATCATCAAAACATTTGCATGTGAGTGTTAAGCAGTTACACTTTGTGAAGTCAAAGCTGCTGCAAAGCCCTGGGCACAGGGGCACTGTGAGGGTGCACTGCTGAGCATGAGGCTGTATCTGCTTGCCTAAGTGTTTTTTGATGAGAATGGCAAGGCAGAGAGAAGCCAGCTGAGTTCCCAGAACCCAGTTGGAACACACAGTGACAGCAGCTTGGTGGAAAACATCCCAGTCTCCCTCTTGCAACAAAGACAAATGTGATGTCGCTCTCAGCAAGGCACAGTTATCGTGGTCAGGTGTCGCTCGCCTCTTCTCACAGGGCAGTGGCTCTGGAGAGCTGCAGCTCTGTTCTCAGCTCATACAGGAGCAAGAGATAAGGAGGAAGAACCTGATGAAGCTGTGAATTCCTCATTGCTTAGGCTGCATCACAGTTTAAACTGGAATTTCTGCACTCAGTGTCACCCACCGCCACCTCCACTGGCTCTTTTTGAAATGCAAAAATAAGCCAACCTCTAAATAAAATACAGTCAATAAATCTATTTACTGCTTTCCTGTATAGCTTAAAGGCTTTTTTTTTTCCAAAATATTATGCACTTCATTTTATTACATGGAATAATTTCTATTTTATTAATTTGTCTTGATATAAAGGGCAATATCCAAGCTGAAGTGAATTGACTCAGACTAGGATGGGCAGTAGCAAGCATGCTATTTTCTCTGGTTAAAAATATATGGTTAGACTACTTACATAGAGAAATATTTCAAGGTTTATGATTGCATGTACAAGTACAAAGAAAACAAAACCTACCTTGCATGAAATCAAGACTACAATAAACTCCTAAAGCCTTGTGCAGTTTGCCAGAAGGTATAGTTCAAGATCTATAGGGAGAAATAAAAACCTGCCTTGGGCAGATTAACCTGGATTTAAACTATGTAGTACTGACATAAAGGGATTTTTTTTCTGCAACTTTATGTATAAACACAGAACATAAAGCAAACCACGAATTAGACCTCAACAGGTAATAAATGGTCTCAAGTGGAAATCCTCCAGTTAGAGGACTTTTAATGACATTATACAGTTCAAAAAATAAGGACATTTTAGCCAATAAAACACACTGGGATTCCTCTTGTTTGCTTTCTAGTATTTGACCCTTCCAGATTTGCATTTTCAAGATTTTCTGTATAGCCAGGACACAAAGATTCCTGTAAATTCAATACTCCAGTGGCTTCCAGAGAAGTACCACAATTCTGCTAGAGCTCACAACAGCATGTGTGCATTTTTTTCAGGTTCTTAACATCAGATATTAAGTTACAAGTATTATTATGATCTCTTCTTCTGATAATAAAGTGCTGTATTAGCAACGTAAAGAGAACCAAGGCCCCAGACTGACAGAGCAGTGTGACTGACAGAGCTCATTTTAACTGATCTCTCAGCAGCAACAGTCATTTATTAGCAATGAATTTGCATGTGAAAGACATTCTGCATGATTGTGTCTTGTGCTTGTCTCTCCTAAAGAGGGGCTTACTATACCAGTACTGCTGTAAAAAGCTAATCCACTGGAAGCACTGAATTCTTCGATGAAAAACTGGGAGAGGGAGATTTGCTCATCTGTGGTCAGGGACTTGTTTCCATGTTTCCAGTACAGCATCAGATCATCTTCATTGTATGCATCTATGAGAAAGCAGAAACTAAAGTTATAAAGTCACTGAAGTTATGAAGTTACTAAAGTAAGTCACCCCTTCTGCTGGAATAACGCTTCTGTTTTCCTTTCCTAGGGAGAGGAGACCACTCAATCCAGGAAAGCCCCAAATAAACATTTTTTTTTTACATCAATTTGCCAGTTAGTTGGCATGAAAAAAAATTTGCAAAGACCATATTCCAGCCTGTTCCAAGTGCAGGCCAGCCCTGTGCCCTGCCAGCAGCTCACCTGACAGATGGGAGACATGGGTGTGCTCAGGGTCACAGGGCACACGGGATCAGAGCTCTGGAACTGTCACTGAGCAGATCTGTTCCCTTTTCCAAGACTAAACAACAAACCAGCATCCCAGTTTTACTTATAATCCAAATAAGAATAACATTTGAAATGTGAAAAGGCATACTGACATCTTATTTTACTTTTAGCTTGCACTTTTTTTCTCATGGAAAAAAAGCCCAAACGTGGGGGGTTTTGACAGATTTTTAGATTTAGGCCTTGGAATATTAACCCAGGGGAAGCAAAGCAGGGTGCATCATAGTTTTTCTATCTTTCCAAAGCTCAATGAGTTCTGTAAAGATCTCAAGCTGTTTACAGTTTAGCATGTACATGTTGAAGGGTTCAGGTCACACATCAGAATAAGTGAAAGGGGTGCTATGAGTCCTGGGAAGAATGCACATGTGAAGAACAATTATGAATTAAACTTACAGCTTTCCAGTTCTAAAGAACAGTTCTGAGTGTCCAGAGGAAACCTACTGAAATCCATGAAACACATAGCAGAAACTGTTATTCTGCAGAAAGGAACAGAAAAACAGAAATAAAATGAAAAAGTCCACATTTTCTTAGAGCTGTGCAGACATCTTAGTGAGATCCCCAGCCAATCTGCTTCTTAGAATCCTAACGATTGAGTTTTTCTGCCCTTTCAGCTGCTCCTGAAATTGCTTCAAGGTGGTGAGATAAAGTTAAATGAGTGAGAGATCACCTTTTTTTTAAACAGAAACAGCCTTTATTATTAAATAAAGTACCTTAGATTTTTAAACCCTTTACTGGCCTGATCCTTCATTAGCCTTTCACATTTTGCTTTGAAGGGTTACATTTATGAAGATTAACAAAGGGAGTTCACATTTCTTGACTTGATTTCTTATACATTGAAGTAGATAATATTACAGATTAGAGCAGATATTATTGCAAGTGCTATTTTCCCAGCTAGAATGGTTATAACATGTAATTGCACAGAAAGATTAGCTGCAATGTCTGGAAGCCTACTCTCTTCTTCAACATCATGGAAATGAAATGTTTTATGCCCTAAAAAGCTTAAGGAAATGTAGGTAAAGACTATTTTGCATTCCACCTGTTTTTTTCACAAATGTTCTGAGGATAAACAACCCCTTGGCATTTTAACCAATAAACAACAAAAAAACCCCAAACCTGCTAGAGGCAGCAATTTAAATATGGTACCTATCATCAAATTTCCATTTCTTGTCACAGCTTGCATGTCACTTGATGTTTTAGTTCAACTTTTCAGTTTTCCCCAAACATAATCCTACAACAATTTAAGTAAGGGTTATACTGATTATATAAGTGATACTTGAAAACTTGTGGTCAGCAGTCACTCTGTAGATGAATTTTTACAAGTGTAAGATTTTGCTGGCTTGAAATAAGATTGTAAGAGTGGTGCATGGATATGACTTCCAACTATGGATGTTGTTTCCTTCTTTTAGCTATTGACCAAGGGATCAGGGGAACAACAGGAAAAGAAAGACTATTTTAGCAACAAATCTGGATTTTTATTTCACTTTGCTTCACTAAAATCCTGGATGCTGGGCACTGAAGAAAAACTGTGGAATAAGCAGATTTATTGCACATAAGTATTTGGAATATAATCTGCTCATTGCATGTAAAACTGGCAATACAAAAAGGGTGTCCTAGCAAACATCTGATTCTTTAAGAACATACACATTAACACCATTTCTGTCCTTCCCATCACATGCTCCCTGTGGTTTGTGCACAATTTCTTGTGCACATTAATCTTGATGACACTTCACCTCTCCAGCCAGCTGCCAGGAAGTGTTTGCCCATCTTATGCCCCTTTGCCCATCTTATGCCCCTTTGCCCCTCTTCCTTCCCCCAGCTGAATGTGTCACACCCCCCACATGGAGAATCCCTGACAAAAGCCTTACTGGAGTAGTGTGGTTCCTCTGGTCACTCCCCCTCTCTCAAGAATCGTGGAAATTAATAAACAGAACAATAAAAAAGCATACTTCACCTCATTGTTTCTTACTGGTCAGTGTGGTTCTTGAAGATGCACTACTTTAAAGTGGTGCATTGCTGTTTGGGAGGGTCCTGCATGCCCTCATGAAAGAGCAGATAAATTCCATTAATTGCTGGAACAATTATTACATAGCCAAAAATCTCAAGGGCTTCCATAAATCTTCAGACTATCCAGATTAGATGAAGTATCACCTCTGTGTACAGGGCTAATTAGTAACCAACTGGAGAACTGTGATTTCTTCAATGCATGGCCCTCAGAGTCCTTACCCTTGGGGGAAAATCCCTCCTCCATTAAAACTATTCCTGCCACATCTTCCAAATCTGCTTCATAAAGCAAAGCAGTAACATGCAGATGGAAGAGAGACACATTTAGTGACCTTGTTATTCCAGTTCTGGAACTGCTGTTTCACTTTGCAGTTCCTTGTAGTCCCACAACATGCCTGCCTAACACTGCTGGTATCAGCACCAATAATCTGCTTTCTGTGTCTGTCTAGAGCCCTGAGGAATATCAATGGTATGTTTATGGGTATCCCAGGAAGAAAATAACTGAGATAGTTTTAAAATACTCAGCTAAAAAGGAAAAAAAAACCCTGCTTTTTTTCCTTTGCTAATAATATAAATAATAATATGCAATAATAAATAATAATATAAATAATAAATACTCAGCAGAAAATCTACTGCAATCTTGCTTAGTACCACTAGCAATGAATTAACACCTGATAAACTGCCACTATCCTGCGACAGGAAAAAATATGTGAAGGGCAGAAAAACATGTTATCAAGCCTAAATTTACTTTCCCACTGCTACACTGGTCACCAGTTCCCCATTAATCCCTGCTGGATTAATGCCAGTCCAGTAGGAGAATCTTCACTGCAAGTATTTCCAGTAATTTCTCACTGCCCAGACTATCTCTGCCCCAGTTGCAGTGATGTATTTTCTTACCTCAGGCTGAAGAGAACGTTGCCATCAGGGTATACTCTGAGCATGATGTTTTCCACCGTTGTATCATGGATGAAAGATCTTTTGGAGTGCACAAAAAACACATCAGGTACCCAGATCTTTTTGATCAGTCGCCCATCGAAAGTCATGCTCTTGTTTTTGTTACTGCGAAATGAAAGTCTCTCGTCCTTCCAGTAATGTCTGAGATACAAAGTCATTGTGAAGTCCTTTGTTTCATGAAAAATAAAATAAGACAATGCCTGTTTTAGTTACATGCAATAGAAGACAGAACAAATTAATCAACTCATGCAAAGGATCAGTTTCTTCTCTGGATATTATCTGAAGGATCCCCAATGAGGGGAATCAGACACCACTTGATGAGTTAAAATACAGGCTGGAACTATCACCGAGATACTGGTTGTTTGCCTTGGCACTGGTGGCTGAGTCTGAGGTTCATACTTCATTTATATTTAGGTAATAATCCAGTGCTCTTCTGGACTGGGCCAGCAGTGAAGTGATAAAGAAGCTTTGAAACCAGCCAAAGACCAACGGAAGAAGATTTCCCCTGGAAATCTTCACAAACTTCTCTGAGAACGGACTGTGGTTCCTTTACAAAGGGATTGGTTTGAGTTCTTCATGAGCATTAGGCCAATTTTTAAAATCCATAAATCTGTACATCTTGTGCCAATATGGTACAGTGGGTTTAGATTAGCACATTTATGAATTAAGTGCATCACAAAGAAACAATATGAAGAATCTCCTAAGAGTAAGCAATTAGATTTTACAATAAATCTTTTTTAATATAAAAGATTGTTGCAAATATTTTATCATCCTATTTAGAGCAACACCATGACTGCAAATATACATGTGGAAAGAGATGAAGAGGATGCTGCAAACTCAGTCTGAGCTTCTGCAGAGCCTGACTGCTCTGTGTTCACCTATATCACTTTTGGCATCATTCACCTCACCATAACAAGTGCTTCTGATAAGAATACTGGGAAGATATTTAGGTCTTCCCCTGTAGTATGACCTGCATGCTTCAAGGCAAGGTTCTACTCTTTAAGGGTCTGCCCTCTTTAACTCTATTATTCTATATCATCCATCTGGATGTTTCTGAGACCTTGAATTTTGACTGAAATCCTTCGTTCTGATTCTACTCATCCACTTACCATGTCAACTTCAGATATGCTGTCAATGCTTTCTACCTGCACATCAATGCCCACAGGTATTGGTGACCCTGCAATGTAACAGAACAGGTGGTGAGGAGCATAAATCCACATTTTGAAAGGGAAGACTGTGCATTAGCAACACGCAGAGAGTTCCCCATCCCAGCATTCACTACAGTCTTTCCAGCTTAGCACACTGAATGAGGAAGTCCACAGCAACAAAATAAAACCCGATGCCAAACAGTTGTAAAAATAAGTACAAAATCTTCAGTGATCTGTTTGCAGCCAGACTAGTTGTTATTGGCATTGCAGTTTGGACAGCAATGAACAGCATCCTTGTGATGCCAAAGGGAAGGAACTCCTTGGAGTGCTATTTAGAACAGGGAAAAGCTGAATAAACATATTAAATACATCAAAGATTGCAAAGCTTTCATAACCAGTTCCAATGCTTATTGCCACACTTGTAACTTTATTTTATATACCACCCCACTATTTCACGTCACCGAAAAAGGCTGTGAGTTTTTAGCAAAGTGGGATCCGAATGAACAAATGATAAACATGTATTTGCATTTTTAGAATGAAGTGACTACAAATCAGTTAAAAATTACAGCCAAGTGGGAAACTATTTCCACTCTTGTCAGTGTACACTATCAAGAATGATGGATCTAGTTCTCCATGGGTTATGCAGCCCTGCAATTTTCAGCAAGCACACCATTCCACTAATTGACTGATCACTTCCCCACAGAGGAGGGAGAGAGGAATATGTATGTGTGTGTATACATCATACACCCCACCCCCAAGAATATTTTGCATTTGGCACGAAAATCAGTAGGAATTATAGTACGTGAGATTCCCATTACACTTGTAAAAAACAGTCGGTTAAAATATTTTTAAAGCACACATTTCAAACAACCCAGAAAAGACACGACTAGAAGGAAGTCTGAACAGCAGCAGATAGAAACAGTTTTTCTAACTTGTCTTTCTCTTTTTCTTGTCTTTTCCTTTTAGCAGTGCCAAGTCAAAATAGTCCAGAAACATCGCTCCCGTGATATCCAGCCACAATACTGTGTCTCTTTTGGGAATTATCCTTAAAATAGCAGCCTTTGAGGATTACACAGCTGCCTCCAGTTCTTACCAGTGGGGATCTTGAACTATTTTAGAGGCATAATCCCTTGATTTGACTTGTATTTTTTAATGGAGAGTTTGACCCTGCACAGAACAGATGAAGATGCCCTGTGCATGGGAAAGCAAGATAAGATGTGTTTAGAGTTAGCAGGGCACAGCAGAACATATTTAGGCACTGACAAGAGCTGTGCTGGCTGGCTTGGAAATCCTTTGAGGGGAATGCATCGCTCAGTGGCCAAAGCCCAAAACAAGACTCGGGACTCCAGAGTGCAAAGTTCAACTGGTTTATTAGTAAAACACAAGCCAGCACTTCAGAAAATGCTGCTTCTTTGGGAGAATTGGATTTATACCTGATGTGGACATCGTTCACAAATGGCATTTGCACATCACTTAAATGCAAAGAGTTTCTGTTGAATTATGTGGGGGGAACAGGAGGAGAGTGGAGCAACTCCCAACATAAAAAAAAGTTTTACCATTTTCTAAGCCAAGGACAAATCTAAAGCAAACCAAGTTAAATGTCTACCATCAACATTCCTCAAACAAGACAAGGAGCTACCCACAAATCATATCCCAGAATAGGACGACTAATTTTCTAAGCCATCTGCCATGTGCAGTGAGGAAAAGGCTTTCCTTAGGGACAGCTGCTCAAAGTGTGATGATGGCAGTCCTAATACCTCTCGGAATTTCAAAAATTACAGACAGTTTCTTACTAAACAAGCATTTTTCCAGTGTGGGCACAGTTTCATTCAGTAATTCACCTCCTCTGGGTAGATATAAACTGATCACAGAAGCAGAAATCAGTGGCAGCTTACGATGATGATGGTTGCATGCACAGAAACCAAAGTGCCACTTACACATGAACACACACAGGGACATGTGACTCTCTGAAAGGAAGCTTGCACTGCATTGGCAGCTCTCATAAAACCAACTCAGTGGGGACAACGAACAGCATAAAAGAGATCAAAGCCAGGAGAAATACAGGAAACTATTCCAAAGTGAATGGGAAAAAAAAGGGAACAGTTACAATTAAATTTATTCCCGATTAGTGGAAATGCTAGAACTGTGAAACAGACTCCTCAATAAGAGATTCCTCTTCTCTGTCTGGAGAAAGACAAAAGACTGTACCCATGATAGTTAAGGAGAAAATACTGTTCAGTCCAGCATTCACCCCAGACGGTTATCAAACCACATCCCCCAGCCCAGCCCTGACCTGTTATTGACAGATCACAGCAGCTGCAAATATTTCCTTCCTATTCTGACTCTATTTTGGCAATAAGTGTAAGGAGATAATAAAGACATTCATCACTGCACATATATACAGCCCTAATCTCTTCAGTGCTCAGTTTTCTCATCTGGAGTGTTTTCATATTATTGTCACTAACACACACACAACACCCCTCCCAAGATACCTGCTGGCCTTACTTCTGCCTTTCTGGGAACATTCCTTTCTGTGATCAAAAACCAAGTCCACTAGAAACAGTAATACTTAGCTATCGGGAACAGGTTGCTGAGAACTGTATTCTCTTCCTCCTTGGATTTGTTTTACCACTAGAGGACGTTTTTAAAAAACATCATTTCAATAAGCATTGGAAAGATTCCTAAACCAGCCTCTGTGTCTGCACCACATCTTTCTCCCTGCTGTACTGAGAATTTCAATCTCTGGCTGACCATCAGACAACAGCAGCAAAGTCACTTTTAAAAAAAGTAACCAGAGCAAAGCTGTGGGTTTTATTTCCCAGTTTGACAAAACTGGGGACGGCAGAGAGGATTTTGTTATTAAATTGAGCAGCTTCAGTTGCTTCTGGAGAGTCACTAGAAATCATTATTTTAGAGGGATTAGTGATTTCACAATGGAGGCTCTGCAGATTTTCAAGATAATTACTCCTCAGCAAAAAAAAAAAAACAACAACCAGCATTGTTTTCAGATGGGTTTATCTTCACACAAGCCATTTCCAGTCTTTAATTTTAAAGGTTTAAAAATTGCAAAAGAATTCCTTGACAAGCATGGAATTTTTTAACAGACAGGACGTCAGGCCAAATTCCATAATACCCTTTTTAGAAGGGCTATTATGTAAAAAGGATACCCTTTTAGCATTTTTAGGATCAATTTCTACAGTAATAATGACTGGAATTCTATAGTGTTTTTGTAATAGTCAGACCTTTGAGCACACAGCAAGTTCCATAAAATAAATGCTGAATTTAGAAAAACCAGCCACTGTATCCCAGTTGGATTTGTAACAGTGTATGTGGGGGAAAAAAAGCAAAGCCTACAGAAAGTTCCCAGTAGGAGACAGAGACCAGGAGAGGATTAAGGCCTACGGGATTAATTTCTTCTAAAAAGGCTTGTGGACCTGTAGAGGAAGAAAACTGGATAGAAATGTAAACAAGCCCCAGAGAAGTGAACATATGTGGATGTGTTTACTTTCCCTTGGCAATGATAGAAACAGGAGAAATACTGGCAATGATATTTTCTTCTTGATACTGTTCTGTTTCTTTTTTATTTATGTGAGAAATGGAGGTGGACTGGTATTAGCAGTAGCCAACTCTTGGGATGGAAGAACTAGCAATGTTTTGGATTTTTTTCTCAATGTAAAAGAGAAAAAAACCCCAGAAGATGACTATCACAGGTCTTGCAAATAACCAAAGTATTTCCTTCCTGTCCTGGACCCCACCTATTCCTTCCAGTAACAGATGATAAAAAGCCATTCCACTTTCATCAGTGTGAGTCTTCACCATGGTGAGAAGATATTTCTCATCTTTCAGGGAGAGCTGTGGTGCAAAAATAAAACAACTTGGTGGCAAAGAGATATTAGAAAATTCAGATTATACTTATTTGCACATTGGGATGCAACTGGGCTCTTGACCAGCTAAATGCTGCTGAATTCTTTTCCATCATTTCTGATACTTGATAATGTTATTATCCTCTACATTGGTTGACAAAGCAGGGATAAGAAATTTTAAAACTTTAACTAACACACCATTAGTACCGGAAATTATAGGTCCTTAAGCCACAATGTAAAAGAAAAATAAAGTTGCCATACTTATATAAATATATATACATAAACACTCAGTGAGAGCTTCCATGTACACAGTGATTATGAGCATGTGGTTCCATAAATTTTAAAATGCAAAATAGTTCAGAGAGTGAGTGGAAGGATTTCACTGTCGGGAAAACCAATGTATAGATGAATAAAAGCATGACCTCCTCTATATGCTAGTCTGTGATCTTTTTTTAATGGCAATATTAATTTTCAGTAAGTGGAGACAGAACCCGGGAAACCAAGAGCTCACACCACTTACCAGTACTTTGAAATAAGATAGTTCAGAAAATAAAAGGATGTAGATAAATAGGTGTATAGTAGAAAAGAAAGTATTTCTAAGGTTCACTTTAGGACCTCTCTCAGTGTGCAGTTTTGGCTGCTATGGGGCCCTCAGATCTGAGCTGCTACAAGTCTCTGTTCATTGTCTGGCACTGGCCTGTGCTCAGCCCATCTCACTGATGATAATCATTCCAAGGAGGGCTGGCAGCATGCCTTGATTTCTTCACTCCAAATTTCAGGTGTCTTCTCACAGATTATCTTCTGAAAAATCCACTGAAGTACTTTGGGCCACGGCAGATGAAGATACACAAACCGTGACAAGGTCTGAGTCTGAGCCTACTCACAGTCCTTTGTCTCCTCTGGTAGGACCTGTGCAGACACACAGCCCTGCCAGGCCTGGCAAGAACCATCCTGCCATTGCAGAACCCCTCACATTCCCACCTCCTGGCCTTTGTCAGCGCCTCTGGAAGCAGCAAGGCCTAAACAAAATTCCTACAACGCTCACTGATGCAGCTGGTAAGGCTGTAAGAGCAAAGGAAAAATCCATGCTCCTAGTCCAGTTCTAGTGGAATTACTTGGATCATTATGCTGGGCCACATCTGTTTGCATCAGCAGGGGATCCATCTACTGAAGGCTTCCAAACAATGCCAGACCATGACATTACACAGAAGGGAACAATCAAACAACAACAAAAAATTCAGGAAAGGAAAAAAACACCAACACCACACCCCTTCCACCAACAACTGAACAGCCTGGCTTAGGGAGTATGTTAAGTAAGATACACTCACGTAAATGACAGCAGAGATGTGTCCGTTTGGTCAAGAAAAAGGATCTCTTACCTCCACAAAGCAACTTCCATGACAAAGCAACCAGTCATGTGAGCAAAGTCACAATTATTCCTAGTAACACTGCAGCCAGTAGCATCAGTATCCAGCAGTTCCACATTCATTTCCCCCAGGTTTTTCCCTGTGCAGATTTGCTCAGTTTACGAATCACTGTGCTCTGTTTTTCATTTGTAACTTAATTATAGGTACTAAAAACTCTAGGTCCTTTAATCTGCCTCATTTACATTGCATGTGTGGGGCTAAAGGAAATCAAACTTAGATTTAAGAGTTCTCTGCACTGAGGAACCTCCAGCAGGTTCAAAACAGTACGAATTTTCCAGCTGCCTTTTTTTCCCTAAACTGGTGCAAAGGATGATTGACCTACTGAGGGAAAGGGGCACAATGGAGCCAGATTAACAAAATCTGTCATTCCAACTCCCTGACATACCCAGAAAATCCCAATAGGGTATAGGAGAGGGGAAAAAAAATGTCCCTTTTCTAAAGGTGAAGTATAAATTCTTGTTTTTCATCCAGCTTTTTTGACCTGCTTTCTTTTCCTCTGTTTCAAATTGATTCATGGTGCTGAGCTGAATAAATCATGCAACGTGCCATGTGACAGATACAAGCCCTTCATGAATCACAGTGCTGAGATGCTTCATTAGATTTGATGAAAACAAACCCAAAATTTCCCCTGCTTTAAATACATAAAGCCACAGTAAGTCCTTGGGCAGTTCAAGGCTATGTTATAACTGCTGTGGCAATGACATCTCTAATTTCACCTTCTCCTCTAGGTGAGCTTCCTTCTGCTGCACACTAAATCACCAGCATTCTTCTGAGAAACCCATACCCTGTCTCTGCTGTCACAAAATAATTCTATGTTATTCAGATTCATGTTTCAGTTGTGATATTTGTCCACTGATGAGAGCACACTTGTGCATTTACTCTCTGCTGCTGCCTCTTGAAAACCAAATCATTCTTTACTACTGCAACATCACTGAAATCAATGGTAAAACAGGAACAATGGAGTACAAATTTGGGATTGGCGTTCATTTCACTGTGACTTCTCTCATTCTGTGCTGTAAAAATGCTAATGCATCTGTTTTAGTCTAAGAGAGATTCAGGCATTAGTATTCCACATTTTAAGAGAGTTCTGAAAATTGGGAAGTGTGTGAACTGTTGGATGTGACTGAAAAAAAGTGCCTCCCACGCCACTATGGCATGTGGATGACAGAGGAGAAGCGAAGCTGATGTGCTCTCCTGCTGGAAGCTATTTCTGAGAGACAGGAGTGCAGCTGAAATCACACCCACAGCAATGTGATTAGTGGGAGGCCCGTGCAGTGAAGGCAGTGGAAAAACTACAGCTGGCTTCCAGAGGAATTGAATGGGCTCAAGGAGCAGTCATCTGAAAAGGAAAGGACAAGGGGAAAAAGCCTGGTGCAGATTTTCTGGAGGTAAAAAAATCCTCACTGCCCGTGGAAAATTACAACTGCCAGATCACAGGGTATATTCTCAAAGCTGCTTTTATGTATGTACATCATAAGTATTGCTTTCTGGGATGATGCAGCAATGAAGGAAATCCCAGACCTCTGCCTGCTTTGATGGAAATGCTACTTCCTTTCTGAGATGACACTTCCAAAAACGTACATTCCTTGTGTGGCAAAGCAGGTCCAGAGAGGACCAGAAGAGGTCCAGAAACTCTTGAGACTAGACAGGTATCAGGCATGAGGTAATTTGAACTTCTGTTGCCAAGAAACAGACTGTATCTCAACTATTCTTCAAAATCAGGCAAGATTTCTGATCTCTGCCAAGACATAATTTCTATGGTAACAAGAAACCCTCTCACATTCTCCCAGTATATCCAGAGAGGCTCTTCTTACCCCACATCTCCTGGAATGCTTGTCAGGCCCCAGATCCCAGCAGCTGGAGTTAACAGGAACAGCTCCACAGACTTCAGCCAGCCTTCCAGATTTATGTTTGTCTACACAACTGATTATTGGTCCTCATATTTTATTTTGGCTTCATAATCCAGAGCAGTTCAGTCTATTTTCATGAATCATGAAAACAGAAGTGGTGACGCAAAGGCTCAGACAAAGCTTATTATGGGGCAGCTTTCTCATTTCCCCTTTCATGAAGGAGAGTCAAAACTGAATCTAAACTGTGAACATCCCATTAAATACTCCCTTTATCCAGATGCAATTTAGTTAAATGAAGAAATAATCATCATAGTGCCCAACAACACAGAAACAACATGGTGATACACTGAAGGCCTGTGGGTAGTTTTTTAATTCTGCACAGAGCAAACAGATTTAGGAACTGGTGGTTCATTTCAATCTCCCAAAACAAATCTGGTGACTAAGTAATTTGCTAATTGCTACTAGACAATGCAGTTTACAGGGATACCTTAATCACTGTTCTCAAAGAATCCTACTCTAATAATATTTTATTTTAATTACTTCTGGAAAAGAGACAATACAACAAGGACAAACTTTTCCTACTGATACGCTAAACACAGAAAAGTCTCTTTTGCCTAAAAGCATTTCTAGATTTCTTCTTTATTTATTTCCTGAAGTACAAAAGAGGTGCTCTGCCATTAAGTCTGCCATTCCAGAGAGAGGACAGAGTCTTAACCAGCACAGTGCAGGTGTGTGCTGCTTACCTCCAAATCCAGGTCGCAATGCAAAGTCATGGTCCTCTATGTGAAGCAGCTGCTCAGATTTAAGTGGCCGTACTTTAGTGCTGTCAAGTTTCCTCATTTTAATTTCTCGTTTGCTAAGTTTTAAAAAAGAAAAAAAAAAGTAAGAAACTTAATTTTTTTTTCTGCCTGACGCTCAGGCTGCTGGTTAAATCAAGTAGGGACCCAAAAATACCAGACAGCTGAATCTGGTATGATAAGGGTAACAACTGTGCCAATAAAGTTAGAGAAAGATATATTGGGAAAGGTTGGGAAATGAGGTATGAGGGTGCCCAGGTCCGTGAAGAACACCAATTATTTATAAGAAGCCCCAGGAAAAACATCATGATCTCCTTCTGTTCCCCTCAGAGATTGTATTTATCATTATACAAGAGAATAGAGCTGTTTGAGAAAAAGTTATTACTCATATAAACACTTGCAACTCAAACTTGGAAATAACACCAAGTACCCACAGCTTAATCACTTCATACATTATCCATATTACAGAGACAATTATTGCTTTTATTATAAATGTGGGGTTTTCCCTAGGAGCTCAGATGGGTCAACAATTTTTAAGAAGGACTGAGAAATGAGGATCCTGGATCTAGGGACTTGCAGGGGTAATGGCTTTAAACAGAAAGAGAGTAGGTTTAGATTAGGTATTAGGAAGAAATTCTGGGCTGAGAGGGTGGTGAGGCCCTGCAACAGACTGCCCAGAAAAGCTACAGATGCCCCATCCCTGGAAGTGTTCAAGGCCAGACTGGATGGGGTTTTGAGAAACCTGGTCTCGTGGGAGGTGTCCCTGCACAGGGCAGGGGGGATTGGAACTGTGTCATCCTAGGAGTCAATGTTCTATAGTACACATTAGGATCACCTTTCTCATGGTGACAATAGTGAAACACGGGAACGTATTACCTGGGCAGGTTTTGAGACTCCTTTCACTTAGGCTGTTTAAGAATAGGTCAGACATTTCTTTGTACACGTGACTTAATACAATCGCTTTGCCACAGGCAAGGGGCTCTCCCTAGGCACAACTTCTTTTGTGCCTTCTGTGATTCTCTGGGACTTTGCTGCCAGCAGCTCCAATTATTACTTTAGACTGACTGATAGATATTTGTTCTGAAGATTTGGCCCTGTAGGCAAACACTGCTTAAGGCAAAGTATGGAATACCTCAGGATAAGGTGTGGGCCTGTATTTATTTATTTTTCTCCTTTCCCCCCCTTTTTTCCTGACAATGAAGCCCAACAAATTAATTTTAAATTACAAGAATGCTGCAGGGGCCGTGGGGCTACTCAGAACCACTGGGCTTGAACAAATTCTTTGACCTTAGCACCCTTGAAGGTCTGTATCAATGTTGGCTGAATCAAATTATCAGGGCAATCAGAAGGCCCATCAGGCATTTCAAACACAGCCTTTAGTTTTCCAAGCAGGAAAATCACGTGGATGCTAAAACGAAACCCCGTCCTTCGGAGAATTAAAACCATCAGAGAGCAAGCCTGTGTTAGAGCAGGATGGGCAGCAGGACTGGACACCTGCAATGCTCTGCAACAGGGAAATTCTGCTGCCTGGGAACCAGCATAAGAGGAGATGATGAATTATGCTCAGAATGCCGTGGCACAGCTCATACACTTTGGAAGCAGCGGGTTATTTGTCAGCGGATGCACCAAGAAAAAGGGCTGTTTGATGCTCCGATGATTTCATTGGAAGAAGCAGCCTGGAACTATGATTTATCTGTCACAGCTTCTTACTAGAAGTGTGTGACTGAGACAGGCTTTCCCTGGCCATGAGAGGCAAAACATAAGCCACCAGGGCAGGAATGTTCTACTTAATAAGCCGCTGAGAAGAGATGTTACGGGACTTTGATATTCCTTCTATTTTCCCGGATGAGGACAAAATAAACAGAAATGCTGCCTCTATGAAAAACATCTTTTGTGCCCACTTACTTGAACAGCTAATGTTTTATATATACAAATGGTGGAATTCTATAATTATTTCTAGCTGCTGTCAAAAATGGTTCTTCAAGCCAGGTAACATCTTGCAGGTGTCAGAAGAGCATTATTAGCATTATTACAAACATGCTCTATCTTCTCTTCAATACCTTCCTATAAACCTTTACAGTAAAGGAAAATAGGCTTACATGCAGAGATATATGCTTATGGTGCTTGGGATGAATTTCATGGACATTGGTAACCTTCTACCTGTAAAGGTACCAAAACTTGGAAAAATTCCATTAAAATTTCTAAGATAATTAAAAAATAATACACTTCTGCTTCACATTTTTTCTCCTGTTGACTGCTTCCCCAAGCCAGGGCTAAGAAGTGTTCTCCAGCAGATACTCCTTTAACATCAGCATCTGGGCTCCAGATGTTGCTCCTTGGCAGAGAGTTACAGTATTAAATTGTCCTCACTGCAGCATTACAGTTATTTAACTGGTGATTCAAAGGGAGTCTCATGTATGTGTTTGTTTACTCCAAATAAATCTTAGACCAGGAGCTAACTATTGATCAGCACCACAGCATTGTGAAATCAGCAGCACATGTCTTCATGCTCCTTCCCATGGTATCAATTCCATTAAAAAGCAGAAGAGGTGTCTGGGAGGAAAAGCCCACACAGAATCACAGAATCATTCAGGTTGGAAAAGACCTCTAAGATCATCGAGTCCAACCATTAACCCAGCCCTGCCAAGCCC